AAAAAAAAAAAAAAAAAAAAAAAAAAAAAAAAAAAAAAAAAAAAAACATTCATTTCCTGGAAAGGAGTAAAAAGTCCTTTCTTTTTTGACCGGTTATGGGTGAGGAGGGATTCGAACTCCCTACTCCGTGGTTCGTAGCCACGTGCTCTAATCCTTGAGCTATAGGCCCCACCCCTTCTCTATTAGATCTATTCTTCGGGTACCCTAAAAAAGGAATCTTTCTTCTCCCCATCCATTATTAAGAAAATGTGAAATCACCCATTCTCTTATAGTTACTCCATAACTCCATAAATACTTATTCTAGTAATTCTAGTTTATTAACAGAAATCACCTGAATTAATGCCTTGACTCCATGCCTTCCAAGTTTGACTTCAAGATTAGGATCGTCATCTAATTGCAACAAAATATCCACCATATCTTGTGCCACATAATCCTGGACTCCCTTCCTCCTTTCATTATGCTGATCCAACACATGTTCAAGAAATCTATCAAACTTCTTATTTATTGCCTTCATCCTCTTCACATACCCCTGCACATCCAAGAAATCAATCCAGGGTATTAAATCCCCAATGTTTAGCACACCACTCAGCAAGAACAACTCATCCATCATTTCCATGAACTCGTCTGGACGAACGATGCCATTCTCCGACTCGTCCGTGTACTTCTTCCCCAACACCGTCCGACTAATAACATTCAAACTCAGAGTAAACAAGTACAATTTAAGCTTAATGGGTTTTCCAGCAGAGTTGGATAGTTCTTTAAGCAAACCATTCCTTTCTTCCCTTCGGATATACTCGTATGAATCAAGTCGCTTGGCACTGAAAAGCTCCAACAAACATATCTTCCGAGCTTGACGCCAGTAAGGCCCGTACTGAGACCAAGTTATGTTGGAATAATTATAGGTTATGTATTTTCCAACCGCGGTTTTGGGGCGGGACACGAAGTTAAGATCATGGGTTTTGAGGAAAAGCTTAGCCATCTCGACGGAAGATCCAACAACCACAGGGAATGATCCGAAACGAAGCTGCATGATGGGGCCGTATTTCTTGGAGAGTTGGTGAATGGATCGGTGCGGCAGAGAACCGATCAAGTGGAGATTTCCGATGATGGGCCAAGGCTTGGGTCCCGGCGGGAGATTTGGACGGCGGAGGCGGCGGGAGAGGAGGAGGAGAATGGCGAGAGTGGCCATCCCTGCTGCTGCGTAAGAAAGCCACGAAGAAACATCCATGGGCTTGGTGGCCGATTTGATGAGGGTGGTGAGGCAATGGAAGGGGTATTAGTAAGCATGGATATTCCAATTGTGTGAATAAATTGAGTGGCTGCAACTTACTTGGCCGTCGTCAAATTTTTTTCCAAACATATAGTGAGAAAATGTTAGGAAGAATTTAAAAACTAAAAAGAAAAAAATACGTGGTGGGTGGGTGGGATGCTCCCGTGACTCGGACTGAGTCTAACATGACGCCTCGCCCGACTATTATTCTGAATCATGGAGAACCAAATTAATTAATAACTACGTAAATATCTGCCATTTTATTTTTGTCGTTATCTCTCGATCTTCTAGAAGGCGTAATTTACAATGTTGGATGGCCATGGAGCCCCCACTAAAATTACCGCCCTCTGCTAATTTTTATTTTAAGTTAATTAATGACTCGTTTGGTAAATTTTTAAATTTTTTCTAATAAAAATTTACTCAGCATCGTTGAAATATTTAATGTTGCTAATTTATTATTATTATTTAAATGGACATTAAAATATATTTTATTATTAAAATTTTAACTATTTTATAATAGAGTATTAGAAATCAATTTTTTTTTTCTAAAAAAACGAAACATTAGAAAAGAATTTTAGGAGGGAACATCCAAAAGAGGAAGAAAAGAATATTTTATGAGGGAAAATTTTAAAAACAAAAAACAAAAAAGTACAATAGCCAATAGCCAATAGCATCCACACACACACACACTCAACAACAAAAAAAAAAAAAAAAAAAAAAAAAAAAAA